TGGTGATCATTCTTCTGTGTAGTGGTTAGTTTCCAGGTCTTTTTCCTCAGATACCCGAGTCCTCAAGACCACAGTACATCATTCTGTGGAGTCCTCCCCAGCCCCAAACAGCAACCCCCACCAACAATGTTGATCTCCAGCTACACTGGTTGCTCAAATCTCAGAACTACCAATTGTGCCTTGAATCCAGCAGTCAGACCCTAAGTCTACTCCAGTGTCAATCCTAAAGGCAAAGCCTTAGGGTTCAAAACACAGAGAAGTAGGGGGCACAGCAATTCCAAGGGCTCAAACTCTTGGGATGTTTCCTCAGCCTCTTCTTCCTCACATAATAAAACCTTGGCGTAACAACCTGTATGATTAGGTTTGGAATCCGACCACATCAAAAAGCATGCTTTTGTTGTTTGATGCATTAAGTCAACTCATAACCCTATGAACAGCAGATGTGAATCCTGTCCTATCCTGTGCCATCCTCACCAGCCCTGATACACTTGAGCTCAGTGCAGTAACCCTAAAAATCCATCTCCATGGAGGTCTTCCTCTCTTTCACTGAACCTCCACCTTTCTAAGAATGATATCCTTTTCTAAGTAATAGCCTCTCCTAGCAGCACATCCAAAGTATGAGAGACTAAGCTTTGTCATCCTTGCCTTGAAGGAGCACTCTGGCTGCACCTTTTCCAAGGCATGCCTGCTGGTTCATTTGGTAGTCCATGAGATGACGAGTTTATTACCCTTTAACAAGTGATCAAGTAACCTCTGTGTGAGTACTCACAAATTTAAACTCATTACCATCAAGTCAAGCCTGGAAGCAGGAGCGACATCCACTTCCGAAATGGCTTGCCTCCGGAAACTCTATGTACGAACAGTGCTCAGGCTGTTCGTTCATAGGGTCACTATGAGTTGTCTACAACTCAACGGCATCAAACAACAACAGTAACTATCAAGTTGGTTCTGACTCCTAGGGGCCCTTCATTGGGTTTCTGAAGCTGTAAACTGTAACAGCAGGAGACTGCCCATATTTCTTCCATGGAACTGCTGGTGGATTTTAAGCTCAGAAGACATCCTGCTTTGCTTTTGCATTAGCAACGCAACTCTCTATAGGCTATGCCACACGTTCTCCCTTGTGAATACTTAAGGGATGAGGACTTCACTACCTCACAGAGCACATCCTTTCCTATTTGGTCACAGCCAGTTTCTTTAGTGACTTTTTGTATGACAATGTTTTATGAAGAACATTGTAGGTTTCAAGGCATTGATTCTGACCCACAGTAACTCCATGTGGAGAGTAGCATTGTTTCAAAGCCTGTTCAAGACTGTGGCTGTCACCTTTGGAAGCAGACAGTAAGGCCCATCTCCCAAGGTGACTCTGAATAGGTCTCAACCATTAACCTTCCAGCTAGTAGTTAACTGTTAAACTTATTTGTACCACCCAAGAAGCCCATCCCAAGGGAGGAAGAGGAGGAGGAGGAGGAAGCAGACTAATACAACAAACCTATTGCTTTCAAATCAACTCTAACAGTAACCTTTCAGTGAGTTCATTTCTGAAGCTATAAATCTTGAACTATTGGTGGGTTCAAACTATCAACTTTTCAGTTAGGAATTCACCATTATTATGCAACCACTTCATATTTAATTCTCATTGTTGTTACATGACATCAAGTTGGAAAGGACTCATAGCTGATCCTCCAGAAGGTTTTCAGAGACTGTAAATCACAAGAGAAGAGATTTTCCATCTTTCTGCAGCAGCTGGTAGGAATGTAAAGTGGTGCAACAGCTATAATCGAGAGTCTGACACTTTCTTCCTCAGCTCTGGTGGAGTAGTCTGTTGGAAGTTGAAGCCCAAAGGCTTCATCTCTCTGGCAGTTTGAATCCATGAGCTTCTCCTTGGGAGAAAAATAGGTAATCTCCTCCCTTGCAATTTACAGCCTCAGAAACCCAGTGGAAGGTTAGCTATGAGTCAGTTCAACTCGATGCCAATGAGAGAGAGTAAGAGAGAGATGCTATTTTAAAGGAAAAGGTTAGGCAAAGAAGTCCTTTTAACGTGATCAGACAAAGTTTGGAAAATTTAAGAGGAAGTATTTCCTGATAGTCTATCTAAATTTGTAAAATCTGCTGCCATAAAATGAACCAGGTGATTCAGATGTACTGAGTTTTCTTGTCTTGTAGTTCTGGAGGTCAGAAGTCTAAAATCAAGGTGTGGTCATGTTGGTATCTTGGGAGTACCTCAAGGAAGAATCTATTCCATGCCTCAAAGACCCTATTAAAAAACAAGGTCGGACTCACAGATAGCAAAGAATTAAACCTTCAGCTTCAAGTTCAACTTGCAAAGAGCAGAGAATTATAACTTAAACTTCAAAATAATATAAGTACATTCATCTTTTATGAGGGAAGCAAGTCAATCTATAGTGTGCCATTGTTGTACTCCAAAATTTCTTTCTCTGCTTAATTCCCCCCCTCCACAGTCCTCATCACCATCTAATATACTATATTTTGTGCAATAAGTTATTTTATTTGCTTGGTTGATTTTGTCTGGACTTTTGTACTGGAAAACAAACTTTATGAAGGTAGGGAACCTGGTTTCTTGCATTTGTTGCTCTAAGGGCTGATAAAGGACCACGCACCTAGAAGTTGCCCAATAAATATTTGTTGAATGGATGATTAAATTAATTTTCATAAAATATCTTCTAGTCTTTGGATCCACTGGTTTTGTTGAATTGAGGAGCAGAGAGTCTTACCTTCCTAAGGTAGGACTTATCCAAGATATACAGGACTTTTTAGTCCCTTATTTAGTTTTCTAAGCAAATATGAAAGCACTCTGGTGGTGTAGTATATTACAAATTGCACAGCTAACCAAAAAGTCAGCAGTTAGAATCTACCAGAGACTCCAAGAAGATGGGCAGTCTACTCTCTAAACCATTTAGAGCCTCAGTAACCCCAATGGAGGGTCACAGGGAGTTAGAACTGACTCAACAACAAAGTGGGTAGGTAAAGACTATTAGTGCTAATAGCAAAGATTGTAGGCAAAAGTAAGTTAGCCAGATCTATATAAAGCCATAATGAAGACAATTGAAAGGAAGATCTTAAAACATCAAGACAGCAGTCACACAAACAGAAAGACTAAGACAAGAGATGCGTCTATGAAAAGACAATCTAAAAACAAGTCAGCATGTATAGCATAATTCATAAGCCAAGAGAGGCCAGAACACAAAAAGTAAGTTTATAATGAGAAAAGGAACATAATTGTCTCATTTGTTCAAGCCAACTACAGTAATATGCTGCATTGTGGCCCAAAACCCAGACCAAGCCAGCACTGTCAAGTCAAAGCCCAAATAATACAGAGTTGAACTAGTACTTTTTTTTTTGGTTGGAATCTTTATGGGAACAGATGATGGGGGATTTCTTCCACAGTGCTGCAGGATCTGGAGAACCAATCTTTAAGTTAAGAATCAAGTTCAAACTGTGCCACCTGGGGAATAGTGCCTTGTCATTAAATGTCATCAGATTGGGTACAACTTGTGGTGATTCCATGAACAACAGGTCTGAACTCTGTCCTATCCTACACTATCCTTATCATCTTGGATGCAGTTTAGTCCATTGCTACAGACATTGTATCAACTCATCTCATTAAGGGTCTTCCTCTCCTTCGCCGACACTCCACCTTTCCAAGTATCACGTCCCCTTCCAAGGAAAATAACCTCTTCTAATAATATGTCCAAAATACGTGAGACAAATTTTCACCATCTTTACCTCCAAGGAACACTCTGGTTGCACTTTCTCTGCATATCTGTTTTTCCTTTTGGCAGACCATGGGACACTCAGCAATCTTCTCTAAAATCACAACTCAAATGCATTGAGTCTTCTCCTGTCATCCTTATTTACTGTCCACCTCTCACATTCATAACAGGTGATTGGAAAGACTGTGGCTTGAATCACACACACCTTGGTCTTTAAACTGACATCATTGCTCTTCAGGACTTTGGCGAGGTCTCAAACAGCACACTTGTATTTCTTAGATGGATGACTAACCCACCAATTAGCTAGAGGTCACATAGTCATTAGAAACATGATCCTAGCGATAAAGGCATTGACATACTGCAAAATGAAAAAAGCAAGTAAGGAATTACAAGAAAGAATGGAAGTGTGATTCCATCTTTATACGTGAGTGAATATGTGTATATAAATAAATAACTGAGATAATACAAAAAATGTCAACAAGTGGTTACAGTTCTCTCTGAATGATGAGCTTACAGATAATTTTAACTTTTTTTCATTATCCATATTTGTTGATTTTCTGATGAGCATTTGTTACAGCTATTATAAAGCAGGTTTTTAAATCATCTGTATGCTGGGGGTTTAAGGGTACACTATTGGTAAGGTAAAGACATCCCATCATTATCTTTGACCTCAGACAATAACCTTCTTGCTTAATTTCCGGAGTCCTAACAAAATCCTTGGAGTTTCAGCTGCCAGAATTGCTGAAGGAGGAGTGAGAAGCTCTTCCAGTTTCTCACAGCCTCCTCCCACTTTTAAAAGTGCTCCTGCCTGTCTCTCAGCACAGAGCCTAGTGAGAAAACTCCTCTGTCAAGGGGACTGACTATACATACTATACTAAAAGGCAAAATAACAAAGGTAAGGATATTAGCCCAATAAGGAACGAAGCTGAAAAGGAAACTGGCTCAACATTTGAAAGAAAAGAATTGGACACTTGGCTCCTATCCCTAGCGCAATGTTATTGAATAGTTTGGGTTTTTGTCAAATAGGTTACTTTCAAATGCTAACCCAACAAGTTGTAAACAAGGTTGCAGCAAAGTCCATGAAAGAAGAACTTTCAAGGGGAAAAAAGACTAGGATTTGACTAGTGATGCATTTTATTCAATTAGTGCTGCTTATCAAGTTACGATTGCTACAGTCTTGAAAGCCTCTTACCTGATAATTTCACTAGGACCTTTTTGCCTTTTGCCTCATTTCAGTAATAATGACTGATCAATTTCTTCACAGGTGACATGGCGAAGAAGGTGGCAGTGATTGGAGCTGGAGTCAGTGGCCTGATCTCTCTCAAGTGCTGCGTGGATGAAGGACTCGAGCCCACTTGCTTTGAGAGGACTGAAGATATTGGAGGGTTGTGGAGGTTCAAGGTAAGTGAGATTTTCTGATTTCTTAAACAAGCTGTGCTGCAATTTCAGGGTGAGTCATAGCTACTGGTCAGTCTTACTGAGCAACATTGACCTGACTTATACATACAGGAACAAATCTTGGGCTGACAGCTCTTATCAGATCAATATTATCCTAACCCTGGTGACTGACCTAAGTTGCGAAGGGACTCTTCTTTTGCATTCAGCATTGCTGTTTGTAAATTTGGACACTCTAAAAGCAATATACAAATATTAGGGAAACTTTAAGAAAGCAGAAATAACTATCTTTTCCAGACATCATCTATGTTTCAATCATTCAGTCAAATATATCTCCAAAGAGTGGCCCCCTGCCACAGTTTGTTTCCCTATGAACTAAGCCATGCTTGTTTGCCTAGCTTAATGATGACACTCTATGACAGCCCCTGGAAACTCCAGATTTTTAAAAGTCTGCTTATTATATCCATTATATTAGCCAATAACAAATATTTATAATGCTTGCTGTCCTCCAGAAATTAGTAGAAAGATACACTGACAAAAAAGCCTGTGAGTAAATAGGAGTTTGCCACCTCTTAGTTTTGAGATCTTGGGTAAATTATTTGCATCATGATGTCTCCATTTTCTGTTATATAATGGGAATAATAACAAAGGTCTACATTTTGCTGCTGTGTGGAAGATTAATGGAAATAATTGGTGTAAAGAAACTACTCAGATGTTACAGATGAGCAAACAGGAACGGGGAATAACAGTAACTTATCCTAGTCACACAGCTAGTAGAGCTGGCATTCTATTCCAAGTCCCTATGGCTTCTGGACAGCTAAATCCCTATTTACAATTCCCTAACTTCGTATTCCTCCTCAATAAGTTTAGACAAAAGTTTAAGCTCAGAATTTGAGAACAATGACTTTCAGCGTGTATATCAGGTATATGTGAGGTTCTAAAATAGGTTCGCTAAGCACAATCAAAAGATATGGGTAGAAGGAGAGCAAACTCTTATATCAGTGAAACCATCCAAAGGGCTTGTTGTTGAGAGGTGCCAATGAGTCGTCGCTTGTGACTCATAGCGACCCTATGTACAACAGCTCTGAGCCCTGCCCTATCCTGTTCCAATCTCATTGTCTCCAACATACCTACTCACATTACCCCAGTCACTGAGTCAATCCATCTCATCCAGGGTCTTTCTTTCTAGCACTGTCCTTCCACCCTCCCAAGCATGACTTCCCTCTCCAAGAACTGGTCCCTCCTTGCAACATGTTCAAAGTATGTCAGATGAAGCTTCAGAATCCTTGACTCCACAGAGCAATCTCGTTTCACCCTCTCCAAGATGAACCTGTTTGTTCTCCTAGCAGTCCATTCAGTACTCTTCTCCAGCATCACAGCTCAAAGTCATCAATTCTCTTTCTATCATCCCTAGTAATTTCCCAGCTTTCTGATGCATAGCAAATAGAGAATGAAATTTCCCTCTAGGCTGACCCAGTTAGGTAGCAACATGACCATCTAACACATGGGCCTTGTCAGTTCAAATGGAAACATGAATCAAGAAGGATTTATTAAACATTGGGTTTCCAAAATGTATATGACTGTAGACTCAATTGGAAGGTTCCTTAAAGATACTGATCTCTGGGTACCACTCCAGACCTAATGAATCAAAATCTTTCAAGGATGAAATCTACTTCTTAACCAGCATCTCATGTGAATCCTGTGATGATAGAGAAAAATATCTAGTTAATGATGGAGAAATGGATCTTTATACTAGGCAGGTAATTTTGCAAAATGCAGAACTGGAAAAACAGTCCAACTCACATTCATTTCTTATTAACATCTGGTCATTAGAATAATGATGTTTGTTTTTTACTGAGGGTGATATAGTATTAGTAGTCATTATTGTCTTAATCAAAGATTGGGGATGTTGTCACTTTAAGGAAGCGTATTAATTCCAATTGAACTCTTTATGAGGGTGATATAGTATTAGTAGTCATTACTGTCTTAATCAGAGGTTTGGGGATGTTATCACTCTAAGGAAACATATTCATTCCAATTGAACTCTTTATTCTTTTTTTTTTATCTTTGTCATTCCAGTTGAGATCTTTATTGCATATTTCTAATCTATGGAAAATATGTAGAATCTATAGTAAACTTCTGTTGTCACTTTTAAAAATTACCAATTTGAGATCTACTGTCTAAGCATCCTTATTTGATTATCATTAAGTTGACAGTAAGAAAGAGTTCTTTTGATAGATCTGCTATCTTGTCAATGTGATTTGGTTCATTTAGATAAAGTCATTCTAGCACCAAAATATTTTTCCTAGTATCATGCTTCTAATACTTAAAATTTCACAATTAGAGATTATCCTATATTTTTGTTGTTATGTGTTGTCAAGTCACTTGTAGCTCTTAGCAATCCTATGTACAATAGCTTTGAACCCTGTTCTATCCTGAGCCAACCTTACTGTCTCTCGCACACCTACCCCTATTACCATAGTCACTGAATCAATCTATCTCATCAAAGGTCTTCCTCTCTTTCGCTGTCCCTCCACCCTCCCAAGTATGATGTCCCTCTGCAAGAACTGGTCCTTCCTGGCAACATGCCCGAAATATTTCAGATGAAGCTTCAGAATCCTTGTCACCAAGGAACAGCCAGGCTTCACCCTGTCCAGTATGAACCACTTTTTTCTCCTAGCAGTCCATGATATAGCCAATACTCTTCTTCAGCACCACAGCGCAAAGGCATCAACTCTCCTTCTATCATCCCTAGTCATTGTCCAGCTTTCTGATATATAGTAAGTAATTGTGAAGACCAAGGCTTGGATCAGGCACATCTTAGTCTCCAGAATGACATCATTGCTCTTCAGCACTCTGGAGAGGTCTTTGACAGCAGACTTTCCCAATGCAATTAATCTTTTGATTTGCAGACTGCTGGTGCCAAGAGTGTTGTTTGTGGAGTCAAGCAAACTGAAGCTGTTAACAATCTCTATCTCTCCACCATCTATTATGATGCTGCCAATTGTCCTAGTGGTGATTATGGAAAAAGTTACATTACAATCTGAATTAATTAAATAATATTAGATAATTAGTCCCAGGTGGCAAAAACTGTTGAGCATTTGACTACTAACCAAAAGGCTAGCAACTCAAATCCACCCAAAACCACTCATAGAAATGGCCTACTGACCTGTATCCAAAACATCACAGCCTTGAAAACTCCATGGAGCTCAATTCTACTTTGCAACACATAAGGTTACCATTAAGTCAAAATTGATGGATTCAATACCATCTGACTTGGATTTAGTTTTTTAGTTTATTAGATATTAAAGGGATAGTTGAGAACTCCTTGGTACTTTTAACAATAACATATTTCAAACCTCTTTAAAACTATATTCTAATGTTGAGTGCTATTGAGTCCATTCCACATCACAGCAAGTGAGTGCATGTGATAGAGTAGAGCTGTCCCATAGGGCTTTCTTGAGGGTATTCTTTACAGAAGCATATTGACAAGTCTTCCTTCCCACAGAACCACTGGCCCAATCTTTAAGTTAGCCACTAGGCACTTAATTGTTACTACACTAGGACTCCCTGATATTCCAACACAGAAATGTAATTGTTGACCACCCAAAGAAGACACAGATTCTCCCTTCATAACGAAAGACACAATAAATAAAATGTGTTACAGGTTAATATAATGTCTTAGCCACCTGTAGACTACTGGATTACTGAGAGTAAGTGATACTGAAAGGATGCTGGGAATTCCTATGACATTCCTAAAGAGACTTTGCAAATGTCAGACTTCTACCAATCAGAACTAACCTTGTAAATTGGTTATTATTTTATTTCTACATCCACATACAATTCTTCTGGGATCACTTTACACAACTTAGTAGTGACAAGTTAAAAAACAACCCGAAATCTAAGCATTGAAACATTGTCCCCGGCCCAGTTTAGACGTTGTAAAATTCTTCCAAAAAGTTCTTCAGCACCCCCTACTGGTAGTTTTGGAAAAAGAGGAGGAGATAATCTATAGATTTCTATTCCACACACACCTCTTTAAAAAAAAAAAAAAACCAACCCTAATTTATGTTTTATTAGATTTCTTTCAATACAGATTTCTTTTAATCTTGATTAGTTTTCCTCTACTATCAATCTGAAATGTTGCTTTCTTTCTTAAAACTAATGCCTCTAAAAACTAGAAAATATATAACTCTAAAAAATATAAAAATATTCCAAACTAATATTTTTTTTAGTACTGGTAATCTGTTAGGGACCTCTCCACGGTACTGAAGAGCAATGGTGTCACTCTGGAGACTAAGGTGTGTCTGATACCGACTATGGTCTTTGCTATCACTTGTTCTGCATCAGAGAGTTGGACAGTGACTAGGAAAGATAGAAGACGAATTGATGCCTTTGAGCTGTGATGCTGGAGAAGAGTATTGAATGTACCATGGACTGTCAAGAAAACAAACAGATTCATCCTGGAGAAGGTTAAACCACGCTGCTCCTTGGAGGCAAGGATTCTGGGGCTTCATCTGACATACTTTGGACATGTTGTAAGGACGGACAGGTCCTTAGAGAAGAACATCATGCTTGGGAGGGTGGAGGGACAGCGCAGGAGGGGAAGACCCTCTATGAGGTGGATTGATTCAGTGACTGGGGTAATCGGGATGGGTGTGTCAGAGACAGCGCAATTGGCACAGGATAGAGCAGGGTTTAGGGCTGTTGTACATAGGGTCGCTATGAGTCGCAAGCGACTCGACGGCACATAACAACAACAACTGGCAACCTATATTTTTCAGAATCAAAGAAGTGCTTGGCACTGCATTACACAGTAAAGAATGTGTCAGTTTAAGTCATTGTTCTCTGAAAATGTATAATGAATTGGTCTGATGATTTACAGCTTCTGCAGTACTTGGCCTGGACACTGTTGTTGTTAGGTGCCTTTGAGGCAACTACAACTCATAGCGACCATATGAAAAACAGATCTGAGCCTTGCATTATCCTGAGCCATCCTCACGATC